GAAATGTTGCGCGCACAAATTTTTATGAGTTGAAAATTGCCCATATATACTGTTTGGAATTGATTGTCATTCATAACTGTTCGAATCCGACCTGCGACCTAATTAAATCTGATTGTTAAAAACACTCAGCTTATCTTAATTTGAGATCGACTTTATAAGGTCAGTTCGTAACGTTGTGATTCAAGGGAACATAATGATTATAGATTCCTTACACACTGTTAAGACATCCCATCAAATTAATAATTACATTCAGAACTTATGTCAGCGCCCACTTATTTTACCAATCATATGATGTAGTTTCGTCAACTCACTAGTTCATTAACTGCTAGGGACCCATTTAAAGGACGGTTTCATGATAAATTGACGAAGTTGACCTCAGTAATCAATGGATGTATGCCAGTAATGTACTTTTTTAGTTCGGTACTGACGATTGACAAGACGGAAATGTGATAGATCTTTTTTTCCTATAAAATGGTGTAAGGTATCTTTAGAAGGGGGAGGGCACCTTGAGATGGAAAATATCTCATTNNACCTTGAGATGGAAAATATCTCATTATCACTTAAAGATCCTTATTTTTCTCTTTATTCGCTTTTAAAGTTGGCTTGAATTGATCCATACACTTTTTAGCATCAACAAATACGACTTTGAAACATCACTAAAGTGTAATGTGTCAAGATATTAAAAAATAAGTTAGCATTTTTTCATATGCTAAAAAGAGGCGAAAAATGTACTGAGAGGACAGTAAATCCTGACCTAGCAACAGAGAATAAATCTATTTCCATAGTTTTTATAGTTTTAGACAATTAGTTGAATGTAAACTAAAATCAGCGTTTAGAAGACTGAGAAAAGTATTAGTATAAAGAATTGAAAGTTAAGTTTGTGAAATCATATTATTAAAAAAAATTCTAAGGTAGTTTCCATGTAGATGGATGAAAATCGTATCACTTTGTAAAATTCATCTGCAGAATGTTCTAAGAAAAGATAATTTACGTAAAAAATTTAAAAAATATTGTAATAATCATTGATTACATGCGAACAAAAACAGAAAAATGGGACAGCAGATCTTATCTCCGAAGACTACGAGCATGCCATTCTTACACTTTTTGAAAAGTATTTTCATCTGTCATTTTTTATTTAAATTTTATCATCTCATGTTAAATATTTAAACAGCTACAAACTAGATGCATTTAAATTTTTGTTCAACGATGACTTAGTCTTGTAGACTCCGTGAAGGGACGACATGACTTTGAACGTTGACTTTTAGCTCTGTCACTCGATTTGCGTAGTAGTTTTTACATCCTAGGCCAAGTTTAAAAACATGTACGAGTTGTTTGCTTAGAAACATGTTTGGATAAATTATTTTCAAGTAAAATTACTCATTCTAAAAGTAAATTTTATCTTTCCATTAATATAAGACAATTATAATTAATGCTCATTATTATTCACATATTTCGTCGAACCCATTAATACTGTTCTTATTAATTTCATCCATTTATGCTCTTACTCTTGCTCTATTTCATGAGTGCAAGTGTTGTATAATTAAGAACAAGTCGCCTTGTACAAGGGAATGACTTACAGATCAACGTCACACCTTATATATATATATATAATCTTTTTTGACCAACTTCCAATTAGATTGCCATGCGTTGTCAGGAAAAAAAATCCTGTGATTGAACCTGTACAAGTTGCTCGGTTGTATAATTATTCTTTCAAGTTAGTAATTGAGTGATTTTCGGGACAGTAAAGTCATTATATTGATACCACAATTTTTATTTCTTGTACAATATTTTAATTGTACTGAATGTCTTCAACTTTTGATCATTATTACATTTATGTCATTAACATAATTTTCGTCGCACTTATTTTCAACCTTTTATTAATCAGGGCATCTACCCCGAATCATGATTTTCATTCAAAAGATCTATTAATATGACGTAAAATGACTTATTTACCTTTTAAATAAGTGAAAAAAAAAAGTTCGATAGAATACTTTTTCCTCATTTAAAACTACTGTAGAAACATATTTGTACACAAATTATCATTAAGGACGAGACGTGTTAATTAATGATAAGTTGAGGATAAGAATGCATCGAAAAAAATTGAAGACAATGAAATTGTTAGGACCATAGTGCAATTAAAATAATTGTGGTGCCAATACACCCATATAGTAATCTATTGTCTTTTAAGTCACTTACTCTTAATAAATTCGCTTTTGAAAAAAAAAGAAAATTCAAAATCCTACACACTATTTAAATAAATATTGTAAACTTTGAATTTAAAGAAAAAAGAATAAATCAAACAAGAATGCCATATCACACGATAGTTTTGAATAGTTTTTACTGTTGGAACAATTTTACAATTATACGAAACATTGAGGATGATCTTGGTCGTTTTTATAAATCGGGGACCTGATAGGGAAATAAATTGGGGACTCACAATGCAATTTCAGCAAAAAAATTGTCTGGTTTGTATGTTTACCGGGAAATTACTGCACATACCAACCACTCATCTGGCTCTCTATATAACTCGCCGGGTCACCTCCGAGTTCTCTTCAGTATTCTCATGTTGATTGAGCTGTGTTAAATGGAGGCGAAAAACTCTTGCAACCTTCAACAGCTTTCATTTTCTCATACTCCTACAAGCAAATCGGGGATCCGCAACGCTGAGATTCGGAGCTCCGTAATGCCCGGATTATGTGATGATGCACCAGAACAGTATGAAGTTGAATCCTCGGCCACCGGTCGAAGAGAATGGGAGGGCTCTTTACCAGCTAGTGTTCCGGAAACAGGCCCAAGGAGTGCGGCCACGAAGGTCCAGAAGTTTTACCGAAGCTATCGTACTCGTCGAAAGTTAGCCGACTCGGCTGTGATTGCTGAAGAGCTCTGGTAGTTTCTCTGTTTTTTTTCCTCCTTGTTTTAAATGTGCAAATTATTAGTATATTCATCAACGCTGATTATGATCATCAGAAGCGGACTCGAATAATGAATTATCAAGTGGCAGACATAACTCGTTAGTATATACACTGATATGAACAAGAGTAATGCTATCTGTCAGGACAATTACCTGTTTAGGTGGCAATTGAATTTACAGTTTTATTGCCAAATAAAGTTAGGATGTACTTTGATTTATCGGAAAATGAGGCAGCCAGGTGTGACATATAACATTACTCGACTGGTTTCTGAATTTGTCTATAGTAAATATAGAAACTGTGCAAATAAATGCTTGTAATTTGTCCGTATTATTTCTTTATTTGTAAATGTTTGTTTTTCGTGGTGAAATCGAAGGTGGCAAGCCATAGAGTTTGTACAATTGAATCACAGTACTGTATCCTATGTCGGCTTATTGAAGCCAGAGACAGCAGCCTCGCGGTGGAGTCGTGTCAGTTTGAATGCTTCCAGGGTATAAAAATGATTTCTTCTTGTAACCTTTTTATAAAATGGAAAACTCATTAGCAATTTAGTGGCTTCAATAGAAAATCTTTTTCTTTCTTAAAGGACTGCGTTTGATGATTTATCTTCAACAAATATATGGACAGGTGGGCAGGGGTTTGTCTACAGATGACAGAGCAAAAACATTGGCCTTTAACCACTGGATTGAAGCTGTGAGTTACTATTTTCCTCATGCCATCTGCTGTGAACTTCATTTAATTATAAGCTACCCGCCATTATCTGGTAATAGTATTTTTGAAGTTAATATAGATTTTTATGTACATTATCTAGATTGATCCAAGGCACCGCTATGGACACAGCTTACGTTTGTATTATGAAGTGTGGAGTAAAAGTACTGCTGGTCAGCGCTTCTTCCAGTGGTGAGACAAGTTTGAACTCATCTGATGTCTTACAATTTTGATTTATACCGGTAAGTATCATAGTTTATCTAAAGTGGTCAAGCATGCCGGCCATGTCTAGTGGATTGAAGGAAAATAAATGTCACACTCTTATGCCGTTAATGAACCATTGAGAGCACCAAATCCACGGTCAAGAATATGCGAGTGATGATCATAAACTTGTACCCACA